TGTTTTGTATCATAATCTAAACATTTGCAATGACTGTAGGTGAACTTATAAGTGAAACCTATGTTTATATTATTAATGATATACTGGAAAACCAAAGAGTGAGGAAGGGAGGAAAAAAGAGCAAATGAGACACCGGGAGCGTCGAAGTGACGGCAACCTGCCAGGCTGATGCTGTCTCTGAGTGCCCCGTGCGGTCACATGGTTACTGTGTTCTGGGTGCCCCGTGCGGTCACATGGTTACTGTGTTCTGGGTGCCCCGTGCGGTCACATGGTTACTGTGTTCTGGGTGCGCCGTGTGGTCACATGGTTACTGTGTTCTGGGTGCCCCATATAGATCATCTACTGACCCTGAATGAATCATAATGCCTGCTCATTTTAAGAATAACATGTATGTCCCACATTTATAAGTATCCTATTAAACATTGTTGCAGAAACAAATGCAAGTAATTTAACAACTTCTGGAGTGATTGTGGCATTTTTCACTGCGGAAGAGTGATGATTTTTTTTGAAAGTCTGTTTATACTCGTTTAATGGTGCCCCTTCTTGTGACAGGTATGCTCACACCACAGCCAAAGGACAGTCTCTCTACTTCATATCCAAAGTAGGAATAACAGAGATAAACAGTATTTAGTTGGTATTTTTCATGGCCCTTTAAATTGACAGGTAGCTATATTGAGCCAAAATGTTGTTCAGAGAAATCACTTATTCATTTAAAGATATTTTCAATAGTTGGTATCTTAGAATGATTCACAAATCACTACAGATATGAATAATTTTAAAAAGAAATCACTTTATAGAAATAAATACTATATAGTTTATAGACAACTTCAGACCTTTCAAATGTGTCTGAAAATTTCTTTCTCTGTTGCTAAAGATAATTTAAATGGGGCCCAAATATACAGAGACAGAGATGCTCAGGTGCCTGAAATGATGATCTGGCACATCCTGCTCTACTTTAGAATACAGTCAGCTGTAGTTCTGTTTGCTCTACGCTGAAGGTGTCAAATGAGCTGTAGTTTGTTTGGTACTAGTATGAAAGCTGACTGTCAGTATATGGAGAGACCCGAAACACGTGTGTGTACTGCCCCTGTTAAGATCCTGACCAGTCAGTCACACTGACCAAGAACAGGAATTTCAGCTGCTGTCAGAGTTTTGTGCGATCATTTCCATGCTCATTATTCATCAGTGACATTCAAATTTGATAGAGGATCAATTTCTTAAAATTGATAAGGACAGAACTTGACTTAGTGATGCTACATAAATGTCCTCAGATTAAATGTACAAGAGACCATCCCCTATGAGTAAAGACTCCAAAACTAGATCTGGAAGTCAAATTCAAACATTAAGTCAGAGAAATGGAAATCTTCCAGCAGATTCTGTGAATCTTGTGTATCGGTAAGGAAAACCAGGAAACAACAGCCTTGATAATCACAGTTTTCCCATCCAAAGCAGTAAATAATGGCTGCTCTTGATTGCTTGTGTATAGCATATTCTGTATAGCATATTCTGACCACATTAGACCCCATTGGTCAGAGGTTATGGGCCATCTTAGAATTTAAATAGATTGAAATATAAACTTTAAAGTTTGAGAATGTGGGCTTGGGACCAGGTTACACATTTGCGTCTTAGTGAGGAAGTGATGTTATACTGACAAAAAAGCTATGTAACCTGAGAGGATTCAGTGTTACTAAAATTTTAAAAGAAAATTAAATAAAAAAATTTAAAAACCTGAGACAGGGACATCTGCGCCTTAGCAAAAGGCAGATATTACGTTAAGCATTGGTTCTGTAAATAACCAACAGCTGATTGGTTAAGAGCTGAACTTTCCCAGGTGCTGGTATTGATGTCAGTCTGTTTCTCAGTAAATGTCCCTGATGGTGGAATGTGAGCAGTCATGCTATCCGGCGGTTCAGTTCGGTTTTCTTCTGGCTGGAGCAGTGCTGTTCCTCTAACAAGCAAAGTGCCAGATCCACTTAATACAGGCTTAACATGCCCTGTCCGTGGCCGCTGAGCCACACCGCCGATTGCCTTTTGAATCGGGCAGTGGAACGCGGTGGTTCCCCCTGACTAACAGAGTAATTTTGGTGAGCTGGCACTCCTCGTGCATGTCACACAGGCATTGTTTCAAAACTGCTGCTTCTGGGGGACCTGGGTTTTCACCCATCGGCACAGCGTGATGTCAGCAAACCGGCAACAAAGGCAGGTGCCAAATGTGCGCCGTTTGCGCTTTACGGGGGCCGGTCTGGGCTGAACACTGTCCTCTTTTCACAGCAAGGCAAACCAAAAGTGGCGGGGAATGCTGCCCTTTCAGGCCTGGCCATTAGAGCCGGCTGTAGATGGGGCTCAGCTTCTCTGTGGGCCGGCGTGCCTGTTGCTGTGGGGGCACTTTTACAGCTCACTCACTGTTATGTGGGATGTCCATTTCATTTATATACTCACATGATATTTGTTAGCAGAAACTGTAGGTATATTTCCATATTTGTTCTGAGATACATTTTACAGTAGACAGCAAACATTTTACTTAGCATGTTTTAATATTTTGGGGTATGACAATATTCAGGGTTCCTACGCAGTATAGTAAAGTAAGGAATTCGATTTTTATGTTTTAACTATGGAGAATGAAAATAAATATGGAAATATTTTGGTATTTCCAGACTAGTACAACAAACTGGCCTACTATATATCGAATGTACTTATTAAAGCTTTCGAAGCTTTTGATAAAATCACTGATGTGAGCTGGTTGTCTGCGACAGAATGTGCATAGAGTGCACAAGGAAGAGCGACATCCCAAACCAAGGTGTGGGGGGGTGTCTGTGGGGGCACGCTTAATTAATCGCCAGCAGGAAGTATTAACATTAAACATTAAAATTAACACTTAAGCTTAATCTGGAAAAGCATTTAATTTAAAAATGGATGTGTAGGAACACTAAATAATGACACATCTGCAGGGAGTATTACCTACAGATCTTAAGACCTACCTGTTGCAGAGGTTGCAGACAAATGACAGTTCATCTACAGGCTACACTCTACATCTTACTACATTAGGTGTTTAGAAGCTAGATTCTGGTTATTCAGGACCCATTTACTGAGTTATAGTCTCTGTTAAATGAACTTTGGTGTGATCCATTCTACCATGGGGTCCGGAGCCAATCCTGGAAGCTAAAGGCACAAGGCAGGAATAACTAACCAACCTATTGACAATTTGGCTCCTTCATTTCACCTTAGCATGTTTTTTGGACTGTGGGGGAAAACTGGAGAACCCAGAGTAACGGAGAATCCATGATGATACAGGGAGAACATGCAAACTCCACACACATAGAGCCATGGCGGAGACTTGAATTCTGTTTGTAGAGGTGTGAAGCAAACATGGTGCAAACATGGTGCAAACATGGTGTGGTAACAATGTTATTTTATCAGTCAGGTATGAAGTCAGAGGGGTTTTCTGTGGGATTATTAGTTCTGAGTATGTTTCCTATAGCATCAAGAACATAGACCAAAATGTTTTAAAACTGGTGACCAAACAGTGATACAGGGTGCTTGGGGAGCACACAATTACCTTTATCATCAAAATTCTATCAGGATTTATTCGGAAATACTAAGAAATTTGCTATTAGTATCATGGGCTTGAGAACTGCAGTCAAAGTAAACATAACATTACTCACATAACATATTCTCACCAACAATACAAAGGCAAATGTGAACAATAAAATAGTACAGGATAAGGTAGAAAGAAGTACAGGCAGTCCGTTAAGAACATCCAACTTACGGACAACTCGTACTGCCATAAACTGTCTGCCATAAAGCCTATTATCTTAAAAAATCATCTTAAATACAATGGTTCGTAATAACAAAAGCACGTACATTTTTGTGACCCTCATGAAAACATTGCGTGGCTTCAGAGACCCGTGGTACAGTACAGTACCATTTGTAGTTATTTATTATTACTGTATTATTATTATTTTCATGTGCTGTATTATTATTGTTCTGAATTACATATAAAATGTGAATTTAGGAAACAGATCTAGTCTGTAACCTTGGTACTGCCTGTAACCGGGCATATGTATAACTAACTTTGGCAGGAGGTATAGGAACCAGGTTAATATTCAGACTTAATTATTTTATGCTAACTAAACACAAAACCAGTGATTTAAAAACCAAATGAGGAATTGGTGTATTTAAATTGATTATATGCCTTATCAGTACCCTCACTGAGAGTCTATGGACCATACTGGTATTGCTTGTTGTCAGGTACAAGAGGTCTTAATGTCGCATGTCAGACGCACACTGACAAGTGTCATGGATAATATCAGTAACTATCCTGGCTATCACATCAATACTTTAGATAATAGCTTTGCATATGAATTTGCTTCATATGATTTAAATGAAAAGGCAGAAGACTAAAAACAAGCAATACTTCTCATTTGCGATAGAGAGGTTCCCAGTTGGCCATTGACTTTATCCTCCATCCAGTAGATTATTGTTTCATTTTATAATGTTAACTTAATAGCTTCGGAGTATTTAAGAATGGTACAGTGCAAAGTATTCTTAAACAAGACTCATTGGCCCTGTTGTAATGAGTTAGTCCTGCTCTGAGACCATCTTGGATTATTCTGGCTGGGCAGACATATAATTTCACTTTGAAAACATCAGGAATTTGGTTTTTTAAGGATGTCTGGGCTTAGCTATGCATGCTACTCATAAACCTCATGAAAAGCGAATGAAGTGGTTATGACAGGCGTTAAACAAGGGTGACCCTTACATTTGCTATTGCTGTATTCATTTACGGTGGCCCTTGGTGACCGGTTACATTTTCATTTTTGGTGGCAATTTTGGGCATTAAATGTAAGTTAAACATTCATCTGTAACTGGTTTCTGATCCAGGCTGCATGCGTAAGCTTTAAAGATGTAACAGGTTTTCCCAAAGCACCAGGACTGATGGTCCATAAAAGATGACATCTTGTAAAGTAACCTTTTCGGCTTTTGTCACCTCACTTCCCCAGGTACTGGGAGTGCCATGTGCAGCTGGGATGGCACAGATCCTGACGCAGTGCAGGCCTGTGACAGAGCTGTGTGGGAACAGCACCAGCAGATGTCATGGTAGCATGCAAAGAGGCCCCCAACTCCTAGACCGGCTGCTCCTCTTCGTACACCTGGACTGGGGTGCTGCCCCCCCGGGGACTCCCATGATGCACCGGTGGGCCGAAACCAGGGTCGCAAGTCGAATGTCGCCAGGCTTCCCCACCTGACGGAAACCCATCGTCTGTGCTCCACTCTGCCGGAAATGAGAGCATTGCCCTTAGGAGCAGCCTGTGCATGGCGATCGCTGCATGGTATGTGCTGTTTCCTTCATGACATTTTTTTTTTGTTGATGGAGGATGCCTACAGCCCACACTGTACATGCCATTTATTTCCCATTATCCTTTTGTTTTGCTCTGCAGTTGGAAAGTATGCATCTGCCCACTGCTGCCTCTCAATGTTAGCAATTTCTTTCTTAACCTGGGCTGACACAGTGCTCTAGACTTTTCTTGCTAGAAATTTCTGTGAGTATCATCACCAGGGTGCCTGGTGAATACGCACAGCGTCAGACCTGTGGCCTGCTAAAAAGGACACAACTGGAGGACCTGCACATTTCTCATGCAGGGACGGTGGCTACATGTTTAGCCCCTGAATCCCGCCCCTTCAGTCTCCCCACCACCAATACCACTGACAGTCACAGATCAGGGGTCATTCAGAGTGGCCCGGCCAGCTCATTTGAACTGATGCGTGATTCTCAGCCATGCAGAACTTATGCAAATCTATACTGTCGAGGTTATTATTCACATTCAAAGACTTGAATTGTTTGCTGTTGAGTACTGTTAAATTAAAAAGGTGTTTAGCACATTGTCTCAGGTGGGCTTTGTTCAAATACTTGTTGTTGTCAATGTAAAATATGCTTTTCATTGTATTCTCTTGTTGCAGAGAAGCACGAGCACCCACACCTATTGGCCAAGTTCTAGGACCTTTCATGCTGACTAAGCATCTTCACACATGAATTTGAATAATTTATATGACCAGATGAGACATCCACTTTTAAAAGTTAATATTTATAATAAACAATTACAAAGAACTTGATGTATCTTTTCATTTATTTGTGGGATAATAGGTGGATATTTTATTTTATGGTGTTTATTGTGTGGTGCCACTGTGTTTACACAGTGATACACTATATCATTGCCTTTCCATTCCATCCATCCAGCCATCCAAATGCTTATTGTGTATATGGTAGTTTATGGTACACGCTCGATTGAATGCCAGTCATATTTTGGATTCTAAGGAATATTTAAATTATTTTTAAATGTATGGTCTAAAGATAAGAAATGGGACTAAGTGACCGTCCATCCATCTTCTAATTGCTTTGGGAGTTTCATTAGTCTACCTTGCGAAATAGCTGGAGTTCAGATATGCTATGGTCCACCATGGCTCCAGCAAACATTCCTTTATTCATCCTAAGAGTCATTTTTAAAGGCCTAACCCAATTTGAGTCTTTCATAAGGTCTGTTATATCACAATTTTTATAGAATTCAAAGTTGGTGAGCAACCCATGTTTCAATGCCTCAATGTGCCAAAGAACACAACTAGCGATGGCATGGTCGGCCTCTGAAGGGGCGACTTTGTCAGCTCCGCCGGGCTCAACAACATCCCTTTATGCTGCCCTTACTGTGAAGAATAAGGGTGGTTGGGGGCTTGTCAGTGGCTCAGTCAGATCTGTGCTGAACTTGGAGAGGAGTCATGTAATTGTGACATACTGTAAAACAGCAGCTCTCATTCAGGGCTGACCTGTCCCAAGCAAATGCCCTGGGCCAGCTGCAGCGTGGAGCCCCAGACAAGGCACTGCTTTCTTTGAGGCCCAGACTTTCTAACTTGCCAATGACCAGCCTGCCTCTGGAATACTTTGTGATTATACAGTCACCCTCTTGAATTGCAGAAGATCTACAGACCATGCCTCTTTATTATTAGATTATATGTAATGCCATCATTTAAAAGCAATGCATCGGCTATGGGATGGCTCTGTGTTTGTTTACCTCATCATACCCATAGATATTCCTCAAAATATGTTACTGGGATTTTTACCTTTGAATTGCTAATTGTATTGAATTGTCAGAGTAATAAAAATCAATGTAAAAATAAAGTGTTTTTTTCGCCTAGATGACAGGAAGAAGACAGTGAAGAAAAAATGATTTAAGATCATCTGCATATTTTTGTCATTAAATGGAGTTTACAAATCATATTGCTTCTTCCGATTTATTACAAGCATTAATTATCATTATTATTACATAAGGCGTCATTATCCTTCTGTAGGGTCATTGTCATTCTGTTCCACATGCTTAGTTACACTTTCATCACCAAACGGAGTCACTTCGTCACACACCATTCTGCCAAATCATACCACAGGTTAAATGCTTTCACTTACTAATTATATTTATATGTGGCCAGTATTGCAATTTGCAGTCTTATTTTACCATGACAGTGCTTAAGTCTTACAGTTTAAATAACTGATTTTTGAAATGTAATGGGGTATATTCGTTGATAAAAGTAGAGTTCTGTGTAATGTTCAATCTGTACTCAAGCAGAACACCGAATTTATTTATTTTTTCATTTACTTAATTTATTTATTCTGTTCATGAAAACCAACTTCATAGTTAACTGAAGAACAGGTGGCTTAAAATAATTATTGTTAAATAGCTTAACAGGCTTTGTTTCTTTAACATGATGTTTGTGACTTGTGCAAGTTTACAAAGTTCAGGTTGTGAATCTTGCTGAAAGCTTACAGCTGAACTCCTCACAGGACTTGAGCCCAGATCTGCCACAGGAATTACAGGTATCCTGCTCTATTTCCCGCGCATTTGGAGGCCAGCGGCAGAGCTGAAAGGAACCTGAGGGCCCTAGGCTGGACTGAGGCACAGCTAACATAGGCTGTACCCCAGGGCACCAAGCTGTAAAGGGCCCCAATTTTTTTCTGGTTGTTACAGCAGCATTTTATTCTGTAGGTAGAACCCCAATAATGACTTTAGCCCAGGGCCCCCACACCTCTAAATTCAGCCCTCTGTGGGCCATCGATTGGCCTCTCGAGTCTGCTGTGCTGGATCGACTCGTGCACTGAGGGAGCTGGGTCAATCCCCAGTGATACTGTACGTTTTCTTCATGTGTAAATTTTGCTTGGTCATTTATGGTTCTATTGTTCAGCATTTTTTATAAGAAGGTCTCTTAGTTTTACACTGATAAACAGAGGTTTTTCATGGCAGCATAAAATAGGCTTTAACAGTCTTTTAAATATTTTGTAAATTGTATACTAATTAGAAAGCCATTATACTGGCAATTTTTAATATTAAATAGCAAGATTGCTTCTGAATTTCGGAGAGTTAAGCTGGCCTTTAGCGCAAAATGGAGATGACAAATGGCAGAGGGGAATATCACATTATCTTCATTGGAAATAATGAATCTTTTATTACTATAGTGGTTTAAGGACAACTCACAATTTGAATATAAATTAATCTAATTTTAAACACTCAATTAAGGCCCTGTGTAGAATTAACAGAAGTATCTACGGGGACAAAGTGGAAGAGTGAGGCTTCTGGTGATATACAGGTTTACATATTCAAAACTACGTCAAAGTGCCAGCTGTTATCTGTAATTTCATTCCGGAACACTGGGGCCTGTCCACTTTTTTCTTTTTCAGTTGATGATGAATATTCTAATGTTTCAGCCATTTATTTCTTTCCTGGCAAATTAAAGGAATGTGACATTTGGATCAAGGTATGATAATGTTGTCGTGCTTAATTTAATGCTGGGATATCATCATGTTGTTTTAACCCATATTGCACTCAGGGGTGATGATGTCAGTATCTACCTAGTTTGATGTTACGATGCGGTAAATTGGATTAACCCATAATTCATCTGTGCCCCTATACAAGTAAGGTTATCTGTTAATCTGATGGTTTTGGATTAACATGTTTTAAAATGATATAACAATTAAATATTTAGATTGAATGTTAGTATATAAATTCAGCTGGAGTTGTTTTGACAGTAGCTGTAGGTAGGAAATATTCCGGTCCTTAGTTCTACTTAGAAATACAGTGGTACCTCGGTTCTCGAACTTAATACGTTCCGGACTCTGGATTGAATGCTAAAAAGTTCGAGTTCTGATCGAATTTTTCCCATAAGAGATAATAGAAAACCAATTAATTGGTTCCCGGCCCCCCAAAAATTACACCTAAATATGTTTTTTTTTAAGCATTTAAACACAAAATGAACTGGATAAAACAAGAAGAGCATATACTGTAGTAAACACATCTAAGCACATTTATCAAAACAGTAATTTGTAAAGTAAGAAAATAAATGTATCCAAACAATGTATCCTGCCCTGATCGTCCGCTCCTTCCATGTGCCACATTTTTAAATGTATTTTATTATATAATAATAATTACTGTTACTGTCTATCATTGTCTAAATGTATTTTTACTGTCTAAATATATGTATTCAGCTAGTGTAAACATGCACGATGGCTATCACAGGGAATGCGAGGCTGAGACTGAAGTGTTACCCTTTGTGTCCGCTGAGAGACGTACAAGTTATCTTAGGTCAGCGTTCACGGTTTGACTTCTGAGATTCAGATTGAGCTCTAGGTCATTTTTTTCGAACTGGTTGGTTCGACTTTTAAGAAATTCGAGTTCTAATGAGTTCGAGAACTGAGGTACCACTGTATATAATTGGCATGCTGTTGTACTGTTTGACAGTGTAGCATTTCACACATTCTGACATTTATAAACTTTAAGTCTGATGATCCGAGAAATAGAAATTGTTTTTACCTATATTCAAATTTTTAGCAGACGCTAACCAGCTCTGTTTTTGGCACCGTGGCCAAAGCTCAATAATATTAAGAAATGAACAGAAACGACTGACGAATTGTATGTATTGAAATGCTTTCAAGGGCTTATTCTAATTCAATAGCAGTGTTTCTTAGGAGGATTACATAATTACCTCTACATTAAGACTATGTAAACATGTACTTCTGAGCCTTTTTAAGAGGTGTTCTTCAATTCGTCATTTTCTAGATGTTGTTAGTGTGACATTGGTATTCAAACTGACATACTGTAATAAATAATTATTCAAAAAATTTGGGAGGTGAATATTATTTTGAGTTAGTCCTTGAGATTTTAAAGTTGCTTCAATATGGTTAAACTACTCCTGCTCCGTATGTAGCTTTTAGTGCAGCTTGCTACATTTCTCTGATGTAATGCTTTCCTGTAACTCAGCTAATTTGTGTGTAGAATAACCAGTAACTTATTTCGCTACATTTTTTAGGTAGTTTGCCCAGCACTGTCCCTGTGTCCCAGTTTCCTTCAGCTGCCTTTTATCATGTAGCTGTAGGTTGTATCTGATTGTTGCGGATTCGGCCAGAATAAAAGTCACACACCTAACACCATCCTCCCTCACCCCTGTCGACAGAACCCAAGAAAGACGTTTTATTCCCAGTAATGATCCTCCTGATGACATTTTACTTTACCAGGCTTGCGGTAATTTCTCATTTTCTTATCAAGCACGCATTTTTAGTGCTTGACGGTCTTTCAGCGTCATTCCAAATGGTCACGTATGCTCTGCAGGCTGCCACAGACATATTTCATCCTCTGCCGAGTTCTGCTAAAGCTCCTCAGTGCCGTTCCTCCTACCTAAATACCTTTTTGTCTCTCCATAGAGGTCACTAATCTGCTCAATAATGCATGTGCTAAGCCTTTTTCGCAATAGATAAACAAAATTTTTGTGGATGCTAAATGGAAGGATGAGCTGATTTAATTTGTTAGGGACTAGAAGCCACTAAGCAGAAAAAAATCATACCTTTGTGTAAGTCTATTGACATATTCAGCACTCTAATGAACGATATCTTTTCATAACAAAGGTGTTCTTTTGAAGTCAACATGCCAGTCATGCTAATTATGCCAAATACGCAAAACGTATGTGTGAGTGTATTTAGATAACCCCACACACATTTGCAGTTACGTGAAGTGATATGTTTGATAGCGAGTAAACGAAGGTTTTATTAAAGCATCTTTAATAATGACAGAATTGTGATACATGAACTGTTAATTAGGTGTAAAAGGATGTGGATGAATTTGGCTTTGAGGGTGATATATGGTGTAATGAAATTAGTCGTTGTTTACCCCAGTTCAGTACTTCCAGGGGATTATAACCTGAGATGGGTGAGTCAATTGTAATTACTGTAAATTTGACCCATGCAGCAGTTAAAGCTAACCCCTCCGACGTGCAGATCAAACATGGAAGCCGTGCCATCAGCCTGGGATCAGCTCGCATCGTTTCCCCCAGAGTCCCAAAGCCAGGCAGCAGGAAAATCCTTTAAGAGCTGTGGGTTCCTGTGTCACCCATGGGCAGTTACTCAAGCCACTCAAGTTTACTCAGGAACCTACTGTACAGAAAAAGGGCGACTTTAATCATGAATGCATTTAGTTTCAAGCCAGCATCTAAGTCAAAATTACAAATGTGCACGTTCATTTCCTGCCTTGTGACTACCCTATGCTAAAGGGAAGTATCATTTAAGCTAATGCCATGTTGTGTCCCTACGCGCCAGCATGGAGACCCAAGGGGTGCCATCCCTGTGCCTCTCGCAGTTGCTGTCTCACGCTAGTACATCATGTATTGTTTACTGACGGCTAATGCAAGACACACTGGGATGGTAGTCCTGGGGGAAACCCAAGCAGGTGATTAAGCAGGTAGGCTATGTGGCCCAGAGGAGACCCAAGCGGGTGCTTTAGCGGGTAGGCTATATGGCCCGGGGGAAACCCAAGCGGGTGATAAAGTGGGTAGGCTATATAGCCTGGGGGAAACCCAAGCAGGTGATGTAGTGGGTAGGCTATACAGCCTGGGGGAAACCCAAGCGGGTGATGTAGTGGGTAGGCTATACAGCCCGGGGAAACCCAAGCGGGTGATGTAGTGGGTAGGCTATACAGCCCAGGGAAACCCAAGCGGGTGATGTAGTGGGTAGGCTATACAGCCCGGGGAAACCCAAGCGGGTGACTAAGAGCGTAGGCTATACAGCCTGGGGGAAACAC